GTAATAGTAATAATTTCCTAGTAACTTTTGTTGTTTGAAAAGATTCTACAATTGAAATATTGAGAACTTAATTAATTTTAACGATTTACTTTAACTAAATGAACCAATCAAAACCAAGTTGTTAAAAAGATCTACTCAATAGCGTACTATAAAATTTGATTATAATTGTAAAAATCCATTATTAATTCAGGAGAAACTAGCAATCATTTTATTTAAGAAATAATTTATATAGCAACATGTTACCAAAAAATGTTGAATATTATAGTCTAGTAGTTGCACACACAAATAGAATAAAAAAAATATTAAATTACAAAGTAAAATGATTTAATTTTGTAGTTGAAACCTATCATATTAAATTATCATATCAAACTTGATTCGTCAATAAATACTTTGAAAACATTAGAAATAAATTATTTTAATTATCTGCATGGAGAACATAGGATAAGTAACTGTTTCATTGATAAATTAGAATTTTTTTTTCAATTTTTGAGGGTAATATCTTCAACTAGATACGAATTGTAATCATTTGACGTATCGTTGAAAAATNATTGTAGTAATTTGACGTATTGTTGAAAAAAGTAGGTCAAGTTAGAGCAGAGAAAATAAATGATAGTCACAAAAAAATATCTTCTCAGCTTTGCATCGAAGCTAAAACTTAAAATATAGTAAAATAATTTTAATAAGAAATTTCTTCTTACAAGGGGCGACTAAAGTGATGGGATCCTTGATATTTATTGAAGTTATTGAATCTAAATGAGATAAAAATCAAACGAGTTAAAAATTTATACTAACTTAAAAAAAATTAAGAAAAAATGCAAAAAATTCATTGCCATACGCGGGTTGGAACCTCGTACCCCAACGTGTAAAACATAAGCTTCCCGACTCAGCAACCATACGTCGCTAACGTCAATTGAAAAAATTGGTTATTTAAGCTAGTTCAAATTTCAAAGTTATTTCTCTCGACTTAAAAAAAGCAAACAAATTTAAATAAGTTTAACTTTCTATGCTATATTAATATTTTATTTATATAATATTTATGAAAATTTGTACTCTCCTTGTCAGGTATTTTAAAATAATATAAAATACAAAACCCAGAATTTTAACACAAAAATAGCAAATTTTTGAATACGGTAGTCATTTTTACCATGAAGACAAATCCAGAGGTCAAATTTTTTTTTTTCAAATTAAAGTATATTACATTAGCTTTAATTTAAGATATATATAAAAGTGTCAGTATTTCCGGAATACTTTCAAAAGTTAAGTTGAAAAAGTTAATTTTTTGTAAACAATTTTGAATCCCCTCCCCTGTGGGCTAGTATAGGGTTAAATTTATAAAAAAAATATACCAAATGATAGGTAATGATATCAAGCATATATAAAAAAAATTATATCAAATGACAGAGAAATACCTCTGGCTTCAATTTAAAAAAAAATTATTTTAAATTATTAATATTTCAAAAAGTTATGGCAATTTTTAGAAAAAAAAGTTTAAAAAATATTGAAATTTACCAATTTAAAAATCGTAATTTTTTAGGGGACTTTCGTATGACAGAGTACTGAGAGAGGTCCTAAAGTGGGCATTAATAAGAAAAGGAGTGCTCTAAAGATACTTTAATATAATAGAAGATATGTATGATGGTACTTGTACCAGGGTAAAAAGCATATAAGAGGAAGTATAGGTGTAGCGTCAATCATGGATAAAATGAAAAAAAATAGACTTAGATGGTTTGGTCATGTTATGAGAAAAGAAGAATAGGAAGCCATAAGAACAGTTATAGAAATGAATGTTGATAGAAGAAGAGGTAGAGGACAATCAAAAAAGAGATGTAGAGATGCTATTGAATGTGATATGAGGACAGCGTAGGTGATGTGGGAGATCGTGTCAAGTGGAAGTTTAGGATAAGGGTGATCAACACTAAGTAGTTGGAATTATGGAGAGGAAAAAGAAGAAGAAGAGTAATTTTATAGGAGACTTTCACTATTTATGGGGAACGAGGATAAAATTTTCTATTTTTGAGGGTAATGTCTATAATTAATTATGATTTGTGATCTTTTGACGAATCGTACAGAAAAATCAGTCCAGTGAGAGCAAAGTAAAAATAGTGACAGACACAAAAATAAAATAAATAAACACATCATGGAAAAATTAATACCTTCTCAGCTTCTCATCAAAGCTAAATTAAATCAATTTATTCATTTTGCGCTTTCTGAAGAATTTACTTAATATGATCATGATACACGATGCCCCGCAACTCGTGCCACCTTTATCAGCCGTCGCCCTACTATGAGTATTTGACTGATCAACAACGCGTGCCATACGCCACAGTGCAGAGTCCAGCAAGTACCGTACAGCCAATGACGGCCCGCCGCAAAAGATACGTTGAGTCTCCTTANGCCCGCCGCAAAAGATACGTTGAGTCTTCTTCCCGTTGTCAAAATGAACATAAAAAAATGAATATTCGTTTTCGGTTTGTTTTTAAATAACCTGTTGTTGCTTATTAATAACGGCCCACAGGTCTATACCCTCAAAACCAGTGTCGACTACATTATTCCGACGTAAGTAGTGTCAGGTCCTACTTCATATACCAGAAATTATGCTCTAATTTAACATAAAACACGTATTTCGATCATATAAATGTTATATTTTTAACTTTGTAATACAAAAAAGAATTATTTCCATGTCCAAATAAAATTTTCATGTATTTTATGAAAACCTG